GAGACAGATTTGTTGTACCAGTGAGCGGGGACAACTTCATTCGTGGTCAGCTGCTGCCCTCTGGTGGCGAACAGGGAGTGTTACAATATTCTGAAAAATTACATACTGAAAATTTAGAATTAAAGACAATAATTGCCCAGTATATTAAATAAATACAAACGAACACGTATCAACATAAGTCAGATAATATAAACGAGGTCAATCATGGAAGGAGATTTTGAGAAAATTATATAAACGTTCCAATTTCCGGAAGCTTCCGCGAGCAACTGGTCAGGTGCTACCATCTGGTGGCCAATAGGGTGTGGCACAAAACAAACAGACTAATGATAAATTAAGGTTTGGCTCCATCTGCTGGACATATTGTATATTATATTATTTTTAGAATTTGAACGAGAAGAACAGTGGATGATCGTTAGTGGGATCAAACTGGGGGACTGGAAGAAGGCTGACATTTAATGCCTGATATATAAGTAATAATAATATATAATATATAGCTGATATTTAATAACTGATGTATAAGGCTCGATATTTCTGAAAATAAGAACACCGTCAACGGCATTCTATTTCAGAAAAAGGGGGGATAGGATATACATCAGACAATATGTATGTGAGATTATTACGTTTTTAAGAGAAATTTATCAATTTAAAATACTAGCTTTGGTTATTTTTTGTTTTGTTTTGTTTGTTGCTTTTAAGAGAAATTGATACATTTAAAATAATCTAGCTTTGGTTATTTTTTGTTTTGTTTGTTTGTTCCTTTTTTGTTTTATTTTTGTTCTATTTTTTATTTTATTTTTTGTTTTATATTTTGTTTATTGTTTTCTGCATAGTCTCTTGTCCACACTCCAGTCTAGTTGGTGGCGGTAATGCACCTACAAGTTGGTTTGCCAACCGCCAATAAACACTAAAGAAGTAGAAGAGATGAGTTCAAAACCATATTTCCAGCAACTTAAGGGCTTGGGATGAGACTTCTCCACACAGGTTGCTGACGCCAAAGGGGGACCCGAGAAACACGAGGCCAACACAGCAGAGTTCGTCTGGCTGAAGGCCATCAGGCCTAAGTGGCTCAACCCCAGGTTTTCCGGCCCCTACCGAGTGACCCAAAGGACCTCCCATGCCGTCCGCCTAGATGGAAAGGGAGACAACTGGTACCACTGGAGCCAGTGTGCGGTCGGGAAAAACACCTGCGAGGACCCTAGACGACATCAGGACAGATCTGGCCCTCGTCAAGGCAGTCGACCCAGGAGGCGCCATCAGCGGACCGGAGGAGGGGGATCGGGACGTCTCTCCAGCATCGACCCGGAGGCCGCCATCAGCGGGCCGGGGGAGGACAATCCGGGCACATCTCTCTAGCAGGCAGCCCAGAAGCCGCCGTCAGCGGGCTGGGGGGACAAAGACACGGCAAACCAAGACGGCACAGGGAACTCCACTTCCCGCTGAAACAGGTTGATATAGCCGGTGTGGAATTTTGTCTGAACAATCAATTTTTTGGAGGAACTTTCAACTTTATTTTTATATTCCCATTTGTTTAAGGGATTTGTATTTTTATATCCCATAATTTAAGGGATTTGTATTTTTTTATTCTACAGAACTATGTGTTACCAAAAGAGGGAAAAGTTTAATAATGTCTTTTCTAATTTCTGTGGCTACTTTTATTGCCATTTTAGTGACATGTGGTTGTTGTTGTGTGCCTTGTATCCGCTCATTGTGTGTTAGACTCATCAGTTCCACCATTGAGGGAAAAGCTGCCCCTTCCCCTTCGTACCAAATGCCCTTGTTGGCTTATGCGTCGGAGGGGGAAGAGTACGATGACTCAGCCGACAAGGACAAACTTTTTTAAACATATTTTAGTCTCCCTCCACTGTCATAAGAAGTTGTTATGGTGGACTGTTCCTAAAGGTTTAAAGTGCTCTAAATCCCAGCTTCTGATGGATTTATATAAATGTTGGGACAGACACAGTAGAAAAGAATGACAGTGGTTATGTTTCAAATGCTATATGTTGATCTCGTGAGGTGAGATCAAAAGAGGGATTGAAGTAAAAAGATATGATTCTAAACTGTATTGAAGTGAACATGTATTGTTTGAACTGTTTTAAGTAATCCCATATATAATGTCTTCTCACTTACAACTCACTGACACAGAGATCCTGTTTCACACACACACAGCTCCTTTTGGCCAGAGCGCACACACATGTTCTTTTCAAGGTTCTTTATGGGCATCATTATATCTGTGTACAAGGTTTAATTGTATGAGAAAGAATAGTTTATGTGAAAAATCCCATGGGAAAGTAAGGGAGTGGATATCGGGGCAGAGATAAGATTGACTTTGACCTTGTGGAACCTTAGAATCTCACGTTCTGGTCAGAACTCTGATTCGCTGTATTGAACCCGACCAGAAGTGAATCCAACCAGTAAAAACACCTGGGGGATGTGAGCAGCTCACACAGCTCCTCCCCACGGACTCTCTAATTCGCTTCGGAGTAAAATGGGAAGGAAAAAGTCAACACATCTCCGCCCCAAAATATGAATATGAATACTGTTGTTTTTGTATGTAAAATGCTTCTTGTTTGATGAGTTGGCTGGTCCCGATACTTGTATCCGCATCGCATCACAAACCTGAAGTCCGGAGTACTCTGTACAACTAAGTATACGTGTTCTATTTCCTACCAGTAAACTCAGATAATTGTTATAACTTTTGATTCCGGTGTTTTCAATTCCTTTCTTTATTAAATAGAGATCAGCCTCATTCAACGAACGGCGCGCAGCAGAGGGGGGGCTCTCAGCCACCCTAATAGCTGTTCTGCTCCAACAATATACAGGGTTGGGTTGTAATGGAATACATGTAACGGCGTTACGTAATCAGAATACAAAAATCAAGTAACTGTATTCAGCTCGCGTTACATTTGAAAAACGAGTAATCTGATTACAGTTACTTTAGTAAACCTGAAGTGAATACATTTTGGAATACTTATTGGAATTATTGGTGGAAAGATTTCCTCACAACATTTAATATTCATTACTAAAGGTACAGCCGAATCATCACAGCGCACAAAACCTATTACCGCCGCAGATGGACCAAAAAAGGGAGCGTTTGAAAAACATGTGCGTTCCGCTCAGTGAGACAATAACAACGAAACATGGAGGAACAAAAGTCTGCGTTTAAATCGTGTGTGTGTGTGTGTGTGTGTGTGTGTGTGTGTGTGTGTGGAGGTGTGTGTGGTTAAAACACATCAGCCTGCAGTCGCTCTTTAGCCTTTCTAATGATTCTGAAGGTAAACAGTGAAGGCACTTCGCGCTCCTCTTCTCAGAGTTAACCGTCCCGATGCCTCCTGGTGCCGCAGAGGTTTCACTGGCAGGACAGAAGGCGACCCGCCCGTTCTAAGCCGTGTCCCTCACTCCTCACATCCCAAGCTGCATCCCCAAAAAGTGTATTATGTAGTTTCATCGTTTCAGATGTTATGTTTCAGTTGCTCTTGATAAGCCATTCAAACAGTAAAAACACGTTCAGTTTCCTTTTGCTTTGTGTGTCTCCTGTTCACCAAAACATACCCATCTGTGATGGAAAGAGAAAGTAATCCAAAAGTAATCTGATTACGTTTTTAAAACACGTAACTGTAACTGTATTCGGATTACTTTCAGAGCCATGTATTCAGTAATCAGTAACTGATTACATTTACAAAGTAACCCTCCCAACCCTGGATATATATTTATATAAATATATACAATTTCAGAATCAAACAAGTATGAGAGCACTCGCAGCATAATAACGTAAGCTAACGCTAACTCTCACCAGCTAACAGCTAACGCTAACTCTCACCTGCTAACAGCTAACGCTAACTCTCACCAGCTAACAGCTAACGCTAACTCTCACCAGCTAACAGCTAACGCTAACTCTCACCTGCTAACAGCTAATGCTAACTCTCACTTGCTAACAGCTAACGCTAACTCTCACCAGCTAACAGCTAACGCTAACTCTCACCAGCTAACAGCTAATGTTAACTCTCACCAGCTAACAGCTAACGCTAACTCTCACCTGCTAACAGCTAATGCTAACTCTCACCTGCTAACAGCTAACGCTAACTCTCACCAGCTAACAGCTAACGTTAACTCTCACCAGCTAACAGCTAACGCTAACTCTCACCTGCTAACAGCTAACGCTAACTCTCACCTGCTAACAGCTAACGCTAACTCTCCTGCAGATTTCACTGTAAAAAAGATTCGTACACCACATTATTTGAACCATCATATTTTAATCCATAAATAGAAAATAAAAACAAGAACACAATTATAATTACAATATCTTTATAAATATTGTGAGACACATTCTCTGGGGTCTGAGAGACCCTAACCCATTCTCTGGGGTCTGAGAGACCCTAACCCATTCTTTGGGGTCTGAGAGACCCTAACCCATTCTCTGGGGTCTGAGAGACCCTAACCCATTCTTTGGGGTCTGAGAGACCCTAACCCATTCTCTGGGGTCTGAGAGACCCTAACCCATTCTCTGGGGTCCGAGAGACCCTAACCCATTCTCTGGGGTCCGAGAGACCCTAACCCATTCTCTGGGGTCCGAGAGACCCTAACCCATTCTCTGGGGTCTGAGAGACCCTAACCCTCTGATATGAAACAGACCTTTATTAATAACTAATAATAAACAAACAGCATCACATTAAACACTAAACAACTTAATAAAAGTACTCTGTGTGTATTCAGTGTGTACTGTGTGTATTCAGTGTGTAGTCAGTGTGTACTGTGTGTACTCAGTGCGTACTGTGTGTAGTCAGTGCGTACTGTGTGTATTCAGTGTGTAGTCAGTGTGTACTGTGTGTATTCAGTGTGTAGTCAGTGTGTACTGTGTGTACTCAGTGCGTACTGTGTGTATTCAGTGTGTAGTCAGTGTGTACTGTGTGTATTCAGTGTGTACAGTGCGTACTGTGTGTATTCAGTGTGTAGTCAGTGTGTACTGTGTGTATTCAGTGTGTAGTCAGTGTGTACTGTGTGTAGTCAGTGTGTACAGTGCGTACTGTGTGTATTCAGTGTGTAGTCAGTGTGTACTGTGTGTAGTCAGTGTGTACAGTGTGTATTCAGTGTGTACTGTGTGTATTCAGTGTGTACTGTGTGTATTCAGTGTGTAGTCAGTGCGTACTGTGTGTACAGTGTGTACTGTGTGTACTCAGTACTCTCCTCAGTTCTTCAGGTAGAGACGTGACGATCGTCTCGATGAAGTTTTCCAGTTTGTCTAAAACTCCGTCTTTAAGCTGCAGCTGCTGCCTGCATGCTTTATTCTGAAAATCACACACACTTCCTGTCAGAAGCACACTTCCTGTCAGACACACACTTCCTGTCAGAAACACACTTCCTGTCAGAAGCACACTTCCTGTCAGACACTCTGGCCCTTTCTCATGTCATCAAATGTCCCTCCTCGACTCCTCGACTCCTCGGTCCTCCGGTAGTGACCCGGAAATGAATTTTAGCGCGCCATGTTGAAGGACATCTCATTTCTCGAAATGCACATCGAGGACCGAGCATCGAGCGTCGAGGAGGCTCTCTGGAGGAGCTCTAACCGAGGAGAGAGGAGAGGAGAGAGGAGAGAGGAGGCTCTCTGGAGGAGCTCTAACCGAGGAGACACTGATGGGTCCTCCACGGTCCTCCACGGCTCCTTCGTGGATGCATTTCCGGCAACAGAGATGTTTCAAAGAGTCGTGGCGCACGGCCGGACTGATCTCAGCCAATCACAGCTCTGCATGCATCCCCTGGATATTATTTTATTAACTGCTTTCATCGCGACGCGATGTTTACAGAGAGAACAGCTGTGAGGTCCGTGCAGAAAGCAGAGCAGTGTGTATAATATATATCACTCAGTATAACAGGCCTACTCTCTTTGCTTTAGTTTAGTAGATATCTACAAACAAAGTCGATATTTTTCTAAAACCATTTAGTGCTTCACAAAATAAAATACACAACGGCTGTAGCCTGATGATATGCTTTAGGAGCTGTAGGTGTGTGTGGTGTAGGTGTGTGTGGTACAGTGTGTGTGTGTGTGGTACAGTGTGTGCGTAGATGCAGCGGACAGACAGGTCTCAGTTGGTTTGGTGTCCTCTGCTTACTTTTAATACTTGTAAATAAAACTTTTGGCCCGTCATTTATTTCCCTCATTGTAGCGACCAGAGAGGGGGGGGGGGATATATCCAGTCTCTGATAGTGTTACGTTATTATGAGAGTGCTCTGTTTGATTCTGAAATTGTATATATTTATATAAATATATACATATATGTGTGTGTGTGTGTGTGTGTGTGTGTGTGTGTGTGTGTGTGTGTGTGTGTGTATGTCCGCATCTGTAGCCTGTTATTGTCTCATTATACCGCACTGTGAATGAATCAAAGTAAATATAGAAGTGGTCATGAACACATCTGTCCATCAGACAGAGGGCTGCTGTGCCTCCTGTCATCATTAATGGACGTCTCTTTAAAATGACCGCTCAGAGGAGAGGAGTTCTCATTTCTCTAACCGCCTGCTGCTTCCCCTCCTCTCTCCTCGGTTCCCCTCCTCTCTCCTCGGTTCCCCTCCTCTCTCCTCGGCTCCCCTCCTCTCTCCTCGGTTACCCTCCTCTCTCCTCGGTTACCCTCCTCTCTCCTCGGTTCCCCTCCTCGGCTCCTCCGCTCGCATCTCCTGTGGGCGGGACTAAGTCTCGAGGATAGGAGTCGAGGAGGAACATTTGAAGACATGAGAAAGGGCCTCTGGGTGTTTCTCAATGTCGAGTAAAGCTGCTTCAGAGCCACTATTTCAAGCATGCTACGTCATCGAGTGCCGCCGAAGTACTGTTCCAATCTCCAGCATACTTGGAAATCTACCGAGCCCGGCGTACTCCGTTTGGAGAAATATCGAGGTTGCACATGAGTAGACTTTGCGGTCTTAAAATCCCCACAATGCTTTGCGCACGGACCAATTTCCCCAAATCTGTGGCGGAAGATGTAAGAGGCGGGGCCTCTCATATGACGCACACCTGCACACTTGCTAGCCTGTTCCACACTTCGTTTTCTGAATGCCAGGAAGTATTCTTGACTCGCTTCTGAAGCAAGATGCTCGGCAGACATGTGCTACCAAGGAAGCGTACTCGCGATTGAGAAACACCCACACTTGCTGTCAGACACACACTTCCTGTCAGACACACACTTCCTGTCAGAAGCACACTTCCTGTTTACTGAGGAACAGCTGGTGATGTTTTAGGTTTTATTTTCTCACCAATTTCTCTCGAAGCTTCAGAATCAAGTCGACGGTTTCCACCTCCGATTTATCTTTAGTCCAGGTCACCAGGTCCTGAGGACAGGTGTGTACAGGTGTTTATACTCCGACAGGTGTGTACAGGTGTTCACAGCTGTTTCCAGGTGTGTACAGATGTTTACATGTGTGTGTATAGGTGTTTACAGATGTGTGTACTGATGTTTCCAGGTGTGTGTATAGGTGTTAAAAGGTGTGTAAAGGAGTGTTTACAGGTGTGTACTGATGTTTACAGGTGTGTACTGATGTTTCCAGGTGTGTACTGATGTTTCCAGGTGTGTACAGGTGTTAACAGGTGTGTACAGGTGTGTACAGATGTTTCCAGGTGTGTACTGATGTTTCCAGGTGTGTACTGATGTTTCCAGGTGTGTACTGATGTTTCCAGGTGTGTACTGATGTTTCCAGGTGTGTACTGATGTTTACAGGTGTGTACGGTGTTACAGGTGTGTACAGGTGTGTACTGATGTTTACAGGTGTGTACTGATGTTAACAGGTGTGTACAGGTGTTAACAGGTGTGTACTGATGTTTCCAGGTGTGTACTGATGTTTACAGGTGTGTACTGATGTTTACAGGTGTGTACTGATGTTTACAGGTGTGTACAGGTGTTAACAGGTGTGTACAGATGTTTCCAGGTGTGTACAGATGTTTCCAGGTGTGTACTGATGTTTCCAGGTGTGTACAGGTGTTAACAGGTGTGTACAGATGTTTCCAGGTGTGTACTGATGTTTCCAGGTGTGTACTGATGTTTCCAGGTGTGTACTGATGTTTACAGGTGTGTACTGATGTTTACAGGTGTGTACTGATGTTTACAGGTGTGTACAGGTGTGTACTGATGTTAACAGGTGTGTACTGATGTTAACAGGTGTGTACTGATGTTTACAGGTGTGTACAGGTGTGTACTGATGTTAACAGGTGTGTACTGATGTTAACAGGTGTGTACTGATGTTAACAGGTGTGTACTGATGTTAACAGGTGTGTAAAGGAGTGTTTCCAGGTGTGTACTGATGTTTACAGGTGTGTACAGGTGTTAACAGGTGTGTACTGATGTTTACAGGTGTGTACTGATGTTAACAGGTGTGTACAGGTGTTAACAGGTGTGTACTGATGTTTCCAGGTGTGTACTGATGTTTCCAGGTGTGTACTGATGTTTCCAGGTGTGTACTGATGTTTACAGGTGTGTACTGATGTTTACAGGTGTGTACTGATGTTTACAGGTGTGTACAGGTGTGTACTGATGTTAACAGGTGTGTACTGATGTTAACAGGTGTGTACTGATGTTAACAGGTGTGTACTGATGTTAACAGGTGTGTAAAGGAGTGTTTCCAGGTGTGTACTGATGTTTACAGGTGTGTACAGGTGTTAACAGGTGTGTACTGATGTTTACAGGTGTGTACTGATGTTAACAGGTGTGTACAGGTGTTAACAGGTGTGTACTGATGTTTCCAGGTGTGTACTGATGTTTACAGGTGTGTACTGATGTTAACAGGTGTGTACTGATGTTTCCAGGTGTGTACTGATGTTAACAGGTGTGTACAGGTGTTAACAGGTGTGTACAGGTGTGTACTGATGTTTACAGGTGTGTACTGATGTTAACAGGTGTGTACTGATGTTTACAGGTGTGTACTGATGTTTCCAGGTGTGTACTGATGTTTACAGGTGTGTACTGATGTTTACAGGTGTGTACTGATGTTTCCAGGTGTGTAAAGGAGTGTTTACAGGTGTGTACTGATGTTTACAGGTGTGTACAGGTGTTAACAGGTGTGTACTGATGTTTACAGGTGTGTACTGATGTTTACAGGTGTGTACTGATGTTTACAGGTGTGTACTGATGTTTACAGGTGTGTACTGATGTTAACAGGTGTGTACTGATGTTTACAGGTGTGTACAGGTGTTAACAGGTGTGTACAGATGTTTCCAGGTGTGTACAGATGTTTCCAGGTGTGTACTGATGTTTACAGGTGTGTACAGGTGTTAACAGGTGTGTACAGGTGTGTACTGATGTTAACAGGTGTGTACTGATGTTAACAGGTGTGTAAAGGAGTGTTTACAGGTGTTTACTGATGTTTACAGGTGTGTACTGATGTGTACAGGTGTTAACAGGTGTGTACAGGTGTGTACTGATGTTTACAGGTGTGTACTGATGTTTACTGATGTTTCCAGGTGTGTACAGGTGTTAACAGGTGTGTACAGGTGTGTACTGATGTTTACAGGTGTGTACTGATGTTTCCAGGTGTGTAAAGGAGTGTTTACAGGTGTGTACTGATGTTTACAGGTGTGTAAAGGAGTGTTTACAGGTGTGTACTGATGTTTACAGGTGTGTACAGGTGTTAACAGGTGTGTACTGATGTTTCCAGGTGTGTACTGATGTTTACAGGTGTGTACTGATGTTTACAGGTGTGTACAGGTGTTAACAGGTGTGTACAGATGTTTACAGGTGTGTACTGATGTTTCCAGGTGTGTACTGATGTTTACAGGTGTGTAAAGGAGTGTTTACAGGTGTGTACTGATGTTTACAGGTGTGTACAGGTGTTAACAGGTGTGTACTGATGTTTCCAGGTGTGTACTGATGTTTACAGGTGTGTACTGATGTTTACAGGTGTGTACAGGTGTTAACAGGTGTGTACTGATGTTTCCAGGTGTGTACTGATGTTTCCAGGTGTGTACTGATGTTTACAGGTGTGTACTGATGTTTACAGGTGTGTACTGATGTTTACAAGGTTCAAGGTTCTTTATTGTCAATCTGACATAGCTACAGAGTAATTATGCAGTTGAAAATCTTATGTCACAGGCTTCTCCAACAATGCAACATAATAACATAACATAATAACAATAAGAGCATGAGCAATACAAAAATAATAATAGTTATAAAAATGAAATAAAGTTATGATGTGGAATAGTGCAGTATGAGTCTATATACAAGTTATTGGAATGATATATATATATATTAGGTATTAGATACATACATATTACAGGTGTGTAAAGGAGTGTAAAGGAGTGTAAAGGAGTGTTTACAGGTGTGTACTGATGTTTACAGGTGTGTACAGGTGTTAACAGGTGTGTACTGATGTTTCCAGGTGTGTACTGATGTTTCCAGGTGTGTACTGATGTTTACAGGTGTGTAAAGGAGTGTTTACAGGTGTGTACTGATGTTTACAGGTGTGTACAGGTGTTAACAGGTGTGTACTGATGTTTCCAGGTGTGTACTGATGTTTACAGGTGTGTACTGATGTTTACAGGTGTGTACAGGTGTTAACAGGTGTGTACTGATGTTTACAGGTGTGTACTGATGTTTACAGGTGTGTACTGATGTTTACAGGTGTGTACAGGTGTTAACAGGTGTGTACTGATGTTTCCAGGTGTGTACTGATGTTTACAGGTGTGTAAAGGAGTGTTTACAGGTGTGTACTGATGTTTACAGGTGTGTACAGGTGTTAACAGGTGTGTACTGATGTTTCCAGGTGTGTACTGATGTTTACAGGTGTGTACTGATGTTTACAGGTGTGTACAGGTGTTAACAGGTGTGTACTGATGTTTACAGGTGTGTACTGATGTTTACAGGTGTGTACTGATGTTTACAGGTGTGTACAGGTGTTAACAGGTGTGTACAGATGTTTCCAGGTGTGTACAGATGTTTACAGGTGTGTACTGATGTTTACAGGTGTGTACTGATGTTTACAGGTGTGTACTGATGTTTACAGGTGTGTATAGATGTGTACAGGTGTGTACAGGTGTGCTTACTCACGGCATCACAGAGCACCTCCAGGTGGAGACTCTCCAGTTTCTGAGTCATCTCTCTGTGTCGCTGGCGGTACCAGCCGTCAAAGTTCGGAGACCTGAAGAACTTCCTGTCAGAGAAGTTTAATTGATATCTTCCACACACACCGAGGAGGTAAAGGTTACCTGTGTTTCAGAGCCATGAAGGAGCCTCACCTGTACAGCCCCAGCCAATCACCTTTCAGCACAGAGGTCAGCTGTGGCCCCGTGTCATCGAGAGACAACAGGAAGTCCTCCTGACTGAAGGGCCGGATCTGAGGGGGGGTCTGCAAAGCAACACAACAACACGTCAACACATCGACACAACAACACATCAACACATCAACACATCAACACATCACACATCACGTCATCACATCAACACATCAACACATCAACACATCACGTCATCACATCAACACATCAACACATCAACACATCAACACATCACATCAACACATCAACACATCACACATCACGTCAACACATCACATCAACACATCACATCACATCAACACATCAACACATCACGCACACATCAACACATCAACACATCAACACATCACGTCAACACATCAACACATCAACACATCACATCAACACATCACCACATCACGTCATCACATCAACACATCAACATCAACACATCAATCAACACATCACGTCAACATCACATCAACACATCAACACGTCAACACTTCACAAATCAACCGTCAACACATCATCACATCAACACATCAACACATCAACACATCACATCATCACATCAACACATCAACACATCAACACATCACATCAACACATCACGTCAACACATCACATCAACACATCAACACATCACACATCACATCAACACATCAACACATCAACACATCACGTCAACACATCACACATCAACACATCAACACATCACGTCAACACATCAACACATCACATCAACACATCACGTCAACACATCACATCAACACATCAACACAACAACACATCACATCACGTCAACACATCACGTCAACACATCAACACATCACATCAACACATCAACACATCACGTCAACACATCAAACAAGCACGGCACAGCAACACAGCAAACACAGCACACAGCACAGCAACACGCAACACAGCACAGCAAACAAAACACAGCACAGCAACACAGCAACACGGAAACACAAGCAACACAGCACCAACACAGCAACACAGCACCAACACAGCAACACAGCACGGCAGCACAGCAACACAGCAACACAGCAACACAGCAACACAGCACAGCAGCAAGCAGCACAACACAGCACAGCAACCACAGCAACAGCACAGCAGCACGCACAGCAACACAGCAAACACAGCAACACAGCAAAGCATCACAGCAGCACAGCACAGCAACACGCAGCACAGCAGCACAGCAACACAGAACACAGCAACACAGCAATCACAGCACAGCAGCACAGCAAGCAAAACAGCACACAGCACAGCAGCAAGCACACAAACAAGCAGAACAACACAGCAACACAGCACAGCAACACAGCAGCACAGCACAGCAAACCTACAGCAGCACAAACACAGCAAGCAGCACAGACATCAACACATCACATCATCACATCAACACATCAACACATCATCACATCAACACATCAACACATCAACACATCACATCATCACATCACATCAACACATCATCACAACACATCAACACATCACATCAACACATCATCACATCAACACATCATCACATCATCACATCAACACATCAACACATGAACACATCAACACATCAACACATCATCACATCAACACATCAACACACAACACATCACGTCAACACATCACATCAACACATCAACACATCAACACGTCAACACATCACATCACGTCAACACATCAACACATCAACACATCAACACATCACGTCAACACATCACATCACGTCAACACATCAACACATCAACACATCACGTCAACACCACACACCAACACAGCAACATCACAACACAGCCAACACAACACAGCAACACAGCAACACATCACGGCAAACAGCACAGCACAGCAGCACAGAACACAGCAACACAGCAACAAGCACAGCAGCACAGCAACACAGCAAACAGAAACACACACACATCAACACATCAACACAACACATCACATCAACACATCAACACATCATCACATCAACACATCAACACAACACATCACATCAACACATCAACACATCACATCAACACATCAACACAACACATCACATCAACACATCAACACATCAACACATCACATCAACACATCAACACATCAACACGTCAAAACATCAACACATCAACACATCAACACATCACATCAACACATCAACACATCAACACAACAACACGTCAACACAACACGTCAACACGTCAAAACATCAACACATCAACACAACAACATGTCAACACAACAACACATCAACACAACAACATGTCAACACAACAACACGTCAACACATCAACAACACGTCAACACATCAACACAACAACACGTCAACACAACAACACGTCATCACGTCAACACAACAACACAACACATCAACACAATAGTAACGCAAGGTCACTTCCTGTTTACCTTCCACGGTGACACAGATCTCTGCAGAGGCATCAGGCTGGCCATGTAGCGCTCCTGTCAGACAGAACACAGGGATTCATCTTTCTGCTCTGTGATTGGCTGAACTGGCAAAGTGATTATACAGCATGCTGCTCTGTGATTGGCTCACCAGAGGGATGATGAAGCTCTGGGTCAGCTCTAACAAGTGTCTCCTCAGGATGGCGCTCTGGACCTCCGACGGCCTCTTCCTCTGGATCCCCTGAACGCAGCTCAGTATTAGTGATATTTAATAACATATGAAATGATATTAATAAAGGTTAACCTTTATTAATATCATTTAATAATATATGAAATGATATTAATAATATATGAAATGATATTAATAACATATGAAATGATATTAATAAAGGTTTACCTTCAGCAGTCTTTTAATCAGGACCTTGTCTTTGTGGAGAAAGGTCTTGAACGCCGTGTAGATCCCTGCAGACATGGATTTATATAGTTATTATTTTCTAAAACAGTTTTTTATATGAATGACCATGGACGGACCTGGTTTAGTGTCCAGAGTTTTCAGTTTGGAGAGTTTCTTCACCTTCACCTGTTTAGGTAAATCACCTGAGAGACATCAAAGCAGCATGATTAAAGGAGGAAGAGGAAGAGGAGGAAGAAGAGGAGGAGGAGGAGGAAGAGGTTTACCCGCCATCTTTGTTTCTCCCAGTCTGAGGACGTGAGGCCAGTTCTGAAACGTCTTGATGAAGAACGGGTTTGTGACTCCTAGCACTACACAGGGACTGAGAGACAGACAGGTGAGAGACAGACAGGTTACAGGTGAGGGACAGTCAGACAGACCGTCAGACAGACAGACAGTCAGTCAGACAGGTGAGGGACAGTCAGACAGACCGTCAGACAGACAGACAGTCAGACAGACAGACAGTCAGACAGACAGACAGTCAGACAGACCGTCAGACAGACAGACAGTCAGTCAGACAAACAGTCAGTCAGACAGACAGACAGTCAGACAAACAGTCAGTCAGTCAGACAGACAGACAGACAGTCAGACAGTCAGACAGACAGACAGACAGACAGACAGACAGACAGACAGTCAGACAGACAGACAGTCAGACAGACAGTCAGACAGTCAGACAGTCAGACAGTCAGACAGACAAACAGTCAGTCAGACAGACAGACAGTCAGTCAGACAGACAGACAGACAGTCAGACAGACAGTCAGACAGTCAGACAGTCAGTCAGACAGTCAGTCAGACAGTCAGACAGACAGTCAGACAGACAGACAGTCAGACAGACAGACAGTCAGACAGTCAGACAGACAGTCAGACAGTCAGACAGACAAACAGTCAGACAGACAGACAGACAGACAGCCAGACAGACAGACAGTCAGACAGACAGTCAGACAGTCAGTCAGACAGACAGTCAGACAGACAGACAGACAGACAGACAGACAGACAGACAGTCAGACAGACAGACAGACAGACAGACAGACAGTCAGACAGACAGACAGACAGTCAGACAGACAGTTGAGGGACAGTCAGACAGACCGCCAGACAGACAGACAGTCAGTCAGACAAACAGTCAGTCAGACAGAAAGACAGTCAGACAGACAGTCAGACAGACAAACAGTCAGTCAGTCAGACAGACAGACAGACAGACAGACAGACAGTCAGTCAGACAGACAGGTGAGGGACAGTCAGACAGACCGTCAGACAGACAGACAGTCAGTCAGACAAACAATCAGTCAGACAGACAGACAGACAGTCAGACAGACAGACAGTCAGACAGTCAGACAGTCAGACAAACAGTCAGTCAGTCAGACAGACAGACAGTCAGACAGTCAGACAGACAGACAGACAGACAGTCAGACAGACAGACAGTCAGACAGTCAGACAGACAAACAGTCAGTCAGACAGACAAACAGTCAGTCAGTCAGACAGACAGTCAGACAGTCAGACAGACAGGTGAGGGACAGTCAGACAGACCGTCAGACAGACAGACAGTCAGTCAGACAAACAGTCAGTCAGACAGACAGACAGACAGACAGTCAGACAGACAGACAGTCAGACAGACAGTCAGACAGTCAGACAGACAAACAGTCAGTCAGACAGACAGACAGACAGACAGTCAGTCAGACAGACAGACAGACAGTCAGACAGTCAGACAGACAGACAGTCAGACAGTCAGACAGACAGTCAGACAGACAGACAGTCAGTCAGACAGACAGACAGACAGTCAGACAGACAGACAGACAGTCAGACAGACAGTCAGACAGTCAGACAGTCAGACAGACAGACAGTCAGACAGACAGACAGACAGACAGACAGTCAGACAGACAGACAGACAGACAGTCAGACAGACAGACAGACAGACAGACAGACAGACAGTCAGACAGACAGGTGAGGGACAGTCAGACAGACCGTCAGACAGACAGACAGTCAGTCAGACAAACAGTCAGTCAGACAGACAGACAGTCAGTCAGACAGACAGACAGTCAGACAGACAGTCAGACAGTCAGACAGACAAACAGTCAGTCAGTCAGTCAGTCAGACAGACAGACAGACAGTCAGACAGACAGACAGTCAGACAGACAGACAAACAGTCAGACAGACAGACAGACAGTCAGACAGACAAACAGTCAGTCAGTCAGACAGACAGACAGACAGTCAGACAGTCAGTCAGACAGTCAGACAGACAGTCAGACAGTCAGACAGACAGACAGTCAGACAGTCAGACAGACAAACAGTCAGTCAGTCAGACAGACAGACAAACAGTCAGTCAGTCAGTCAGACAGACAGACAAACAGTCAGTCAGACAGACAGACAGTCAGACAGACAGACAGACAGTCAGACAGACAGTCAGTCAGACAGACAGACAGTCAGACAGACAGACAGACAGACAAACAGTCAGTCAGTCAGTCAGACAGACAGACAAACAGTCAGTCAGTCAGACAGACAGACAGTCAGACAGACAGACAGACAGTCAGACAGACAGACAGACAGACAGGTGTCTCACGGGGCTTGGGTCCTGGTGGTGTATTCTCTGAACTCTGAGTCGTGGATGGTGAAGTACGGCCGGAAATCACAGCAGAACCTCAGAGGACTGATCATACTGAGGAGAGACGTGTATATATACACTGTAATATATACTGTAATATACACTGTAATATATACTGTAATATATACTGTAATATACACTGTAATATATACTGTAATATATACTGTAATATACACTGTAATATATACTGTAATATACACTGTAATATACACTGTAATATATACTGTAATATACACTGTAATATACACTGTAATATATACTGTAATATATACTGTAATATATACTGTAATATATACTGTAATATACACTGTAATATATACTGTAATATACACTGTAATATATACTGTAATATATACTGTAATATACACTGTAATATACACTGTAATATATACTGTAATATACACTGTAATATACACTGTAATATATACTGTAATATATACTGTAATATACACTGTAATATACACTGTAATATATACTGTAATATACACTGTAATATATACTGTAATATATACTGTAATATATACTGTAATATACACTGTAATATATACTATAATATATACTGTAATATACACTGTAATATATACTGTAATATATACTGTAATATATACTGTATATCTACAGTAAAAAATATAGGGTATATATATTTATGCACTGTATATATGTATACAGTACATATTAACAGTAGGCCTATGTACAGTAAATATATACCCTATATTTACTGTATATATTACTGTATGTACAGTAAATATAGGGTATGTATACAGTAAATACAGTAAATATAGGGTATGTATACAGTATGTACAGTAAATATAGGGTATGTATACAGTATGTACAGTAAATATAGGGTATATATACAGTATGTACAGTAAATATAGGGTATGTATACAGTAAATACAGTAAATATAGGGTATGTATACAGTATGTACAGTAAATATAGGGTATGTATACAGTATGTACAGTAAATATAGGGTATGTATACAGTAAATACAGTAAATATAGGGTATGTATACAGTATGTACAGTAAATATAGGGTATGTATACAGTAAATACAGTAAATATAGGGTATGTATACAGTATGTACAGTAAATATAGGGTATATGTCAATACTGTAAATACCTGATGAGAGCCAGCACGGTTTCCGAGGAGACGGTGGGAGACGGTGCCATGACAACCAGCGGTTCCCCTAGCAACAGCAGCTCCCACAACACCTGCAGGTGAACCAGCACCGACTGGAAACACCTGGATAGAATATCATATCACATAATCAGGGTATCTGCAGGAATCCTGAAGTCAAATGTAATTTAAGACCTTTTTTAAGACCCTTTCCACACATTTTAAGACCTCATCGCCACTTCCAGTTCTAACCGGTTACATTGGCGACAGACTTTACCTCACATTTACTATATACAGCATGGGTCGGCAATAGGCGGCCCGCGGGCCATTGGCGGCCCGCCAGCAATAATATTTGGCCCGGAAAATTATTTTGAGAATAAAAATAAAAGATTATTGTGAGAATTTTTCTTTTTTACAATATCGGACCGACAGTCGCACATATAGGCTATAATGTCCGAATAGAGAATCTACCTACACCTGAAGAATGCTTATTGTACTTTTATCCATGTTGAGAGTGAACACAGCACAGGCACAATCTGGCAGCGGGGTGCACTGACGCTGATCGTGGATCAATAAGTAGGTGGACAGTCCGTGGTGCTGAAATAGCCAACATGTGGTTTGTGGTTTGAACAGAATAACACCAGCTCACTAAATCATTCAAACGTAATGTTTACTTATATGTGAACAGTAACACAGTTCAGTTAAAACATTGACAACAAAATCGGAGAAGCCGCTTGATCATGGAGGGCGAGGGGCGGTGGTGCATAGGCTGCCACCCCAGCTGCCACCTCAGCTGCCACCCCAGCTGCCACCCCAGCTGCCACCCCAGCTGCCACCCCAGCTGCCACCCCAGCTGCCACTCCAGCTGCCACCTCAGCTGCCACCCCAGCTGCCACCCCAGCTGCCACCCCAGCTGCCACCTCAGCTGCCACCCCAGCTGCCACCCCAGCTGCCACCTCAGCTGCCACCCCAGCTGCCACCTCAGCTGCCACCTCAGCTGCCACCCCAGCTGCCACCCCAGCTGCCACCCCAGCTGCCACCTCAGCTGCCACCCCAGCTGCCACCTCAGCTGCCACTCCAGCTGCCACCTCAGCTGCCACCCCAGCTGCCACCCCAGCTGCCACCTCAGCTGCCACCCCAGCTGCCACCTCAGCTGCCACCCCAGCTGCCACCTCAGCTGCCACCCCAGCTGCCACCCCAGCTTCCACCCCAGCTGCCACCCCAGCTGCCACCTCAGCTGCCACCCCAGCTGCCACCCCAGCTGCCACCTCAGCTGCCAGCTTTGTTTTGAAAGAAAAGGTTTGGCTCATCGGACATTTATGGCCCTGGCGCGAGCATGGACATTTGGGGCTCTCTGCTGGAACTGCTACCTCCACGACCCGACCACGGATAAGAGGGAGAAGATGGATGGATAATATAATATGATATGTGTTAAGGAATAATTCTTCTAGATATCTAACCTTTTACTCTGACATGTGTTATCTCCTTTAAGGAAAGGCCTTGGTGCCATATGTGTTGTTGTCACCAGTGTGAGACCGGTCAACTTGACTGGCACGTAGGGTAATTGTTGTGGGAACACTGAAGCACTTCTTTATCGGTGTTTGTGGGCTCTAGGATGTGAAATCCTTGAGGCCATGAGCGTTGGACGCAGATGATTCAGTGTTTAGTCTACTCCTTCAGAGATGTTGATTCTCTGTGAACCTGTTAAAAGGTCTAGCATAGAGAGAGGCTCTTCAGAATTGACGTGGCAACTCTACCGTGTGGTCAGAACCTCTGACTCTTTGATTTGTGATGTGAATCCTCCGGCCGAATACTCTGAATAAACCCATCAGTGTTTGACATCAAAGCTCCAACTCTCACCGTGTCTCCTTCCTGAGTCGGTGACTCCATGCATTGCTACACAGAAGTTTCCTCCACAAATTGGCGTTGTCGGCAGGATACCAACAGATCTTCAGAGACTGGTAAGTGTGATTTCAAATCTACATTTGGACATTGCCTTACCAGAATCTGTGATTGACGGTATCCTAAAATTATCTGTGAAGCTAAGCGGCTGCGTTTCGTTTTGGTTAATGAACATTTGGGGCTATTAACCCCAGGGGATCATCCAGGGACTCTGTCTTGGCTGGTTCCCTCTGTGTGTGTGCTGCTCGGGACTTATGTGCCGTGCAGGCATACACGGAGATGTTTAAAAAGACCTTAATGAGGGCAGCAGTAAAGTGGAACTTCTGTGTGAAATCAAAATAGAGATTTGTAATGAACAAATCGCCGAGATTCCGGGGGTTTCAGCGGCCAACACTAGCAGTTAACTAAAGCAGCCAGAGATATTACCCCCAGCGCCTCTAACAAAAACACGGCTCCAGCTGCTGCAGCTCCGGGGAATGTGTGTCAAATACCTCCCCGTATCTGCATGAGCTGGTGCCGTGAACTCAGAGGGAGAAAATCACAGCTTTTGTCTATAGCTTTAACTCACACCACCGCCGTCTCTATTAAAAACGAGACTGTTTAAAAGCACTCTCGTGGCTTGTGGCCGTTTACGACGTGTTGGCAGGTGCGAGGTGCGTGTATTACCTGATGCGACAGGCTCCCTACATTGCTGGAGGAGCTGGTGCCGGTCCGGGGTGCATACATAAAATTATAGGCTAATTGATCATGGGTGGGCAGTGGTATGCAAGTGTAGAACAAAACTGTGTTTCATCGTTGGGATGAACATGATGGGAGGTGTGTAGGCTGGTCGAGTAGGACTACAGTTAACTGTGTGGTTTCGGATAGAAAGGGTAGAGGAAAAAAGTCTATGTGCTCCTGATCGGGGGGGCATAGCACCACTAGAGCAGGGATAGTGGGGTCGCAAGAGGATAAGCTAGTTATTGCTCTTGGACGGTCTTCAGGCACCGATCTAAGGACTTGTATACAAGGGTGGAGGTACGAGTCAAGGTACCCCACTGGGTTCCCATTGGGAGAGATCATATCCCTACCCCCTCTGAAACCTCTTTAATCCGGACTAAATTGAGCTGGATGAACTTTGCTGTCACGCTGGTGTTTATTACGAGTTCATCATGTTTGTTTGTCTGATTGTTTGTATCAGGGGTCTATATTGGTTTGTCTAACCGCCGTCTTGTGCATGTTTTGTAACAACTAATAATGAATCAGTCCATAGCCAGAGTAAAATAAACTAAGCTTTAGTTAACTCACCAAAAGTAAATGACTTGAGAAAGATAAATAATATATAGTGTTTTGCAAAATTCTGGTAGTATAGATGTGCTGCAAAATGAAAATAAATAGCAAAAGAGTGTTTTATGTCCTGCATCTGAGTGTGCAGAGGAAATGTAAACAAGAAGCACACTGTTCAGGGTGTGCGCTGCATCTGAGTGTGCAGAGGAAATGTAAACAAGGAGCACACTGTTCAGGGTGTGCGCTGTAGGTGTAAGAAGAAGAGAAGATTATATTACTTTAAGAATACATTCTTAAATTGTATTGCTGGTATGTTAAGATATGTTTGTGACCTTTTATAAACCCTATGCCCCGTCCTGCACTCCTGAGACCCTCAGAGGCATCACTGCTGGTCGTAAAGACCTGCCTGAGGAGGTCAGGGTGGCAAAATCTGTCTGCTGTTTTAGGTCAATGTTGTATTATTTGTTTCATTTATTCTTAAATCTATGTATTGTTTGGTAATAATGAAAAAAACGTAATGTATTGAACACATTCCGAAACAAAGCTGATAAGACAGAACTAGACTCGGACATAATACAAATTATTGTTGAAACCTTTTGCGCTGTTGCTGCAAAATGGAAACTTTGTTGATTATCTATTCCAACTGGCCACTGGATTCAGATAATTAATATAAGTTGAAGTTTTAATTACAGTTTTAAATATAGTTTAACATTCTTTATTAAACTGCTTCAAATGATTTCTCGTATCAACCAATTGGTCTCCATAGACATTACTACAATTATAATAGTTGTTAAACTACTGACAAGTTTTCTGAAACGGAGCTTATGAACAAAAGAGTAAAGGTCGCTGGTTAAGCCAGGATCAATATATTTGTTGACGTTTTCATTACAGAGTGCATAATAAATGTGTTAAATGAATTGAGCAATTCTTTAAAAAGTATAATGTTGCAATCTCTTTACAATAAGTAATTACAGTTAAAAGAAGTAGAGGTTGTTTTCCAAGGGCCTCTCCTTCACAGCCCTACACTTTAAATCATGAGACTTTCAAATCATAACAGACAGAGATCGGTATCACTTTGTGTTGCAAGCCGAATCCATGTAAAGGTTCTACTTGAGCCCAATTTAAATACCATAAAGAAAGTATTGAACCCAGCTCAAGCTAAATGTCAAATGTATTTAATTAATGTGCAAGTGTTTTGATTTATTTAAAATGTTCTAATCTCAGCTTCTTTCGAGTTCAGTCTAAGCAACAAATTGTTTCTCATAACATTCTCACTGCTGTCCCAAATGTTTTAACCTTGGGCAGACAAGCTGTTCACACACCCACACACACACACACACACACACACACACACACACACACACACACACACACACACACACACACACACACACACACACACACACACACACACACACACACACACACACACACACACACACACACACACACACACACACACACACACACACACACACACACACACACACACACACACACACACACACACACACACACACACACACACACCACACACACACACACACACACACACACACACACACACACACACACACACACACACACACACACACTTTGGATAAGTAGTCACCTTATCCACATTGTAAATTGTTGCCTTCTTTAAAGTTATTAGTAATTTAAGATTAATTATTAAATTAAATGTAGAATAAGATAAAATAACTTGACTTGATCATTTTGTTCACAGCATTAGACCTGTCCTCTAATCTCTACTAGAATAAGATAAGTGTGCATGTTTGGATGTTTTATCACTCCTGTAATGTACCTAATCTTGATATCCTTTTCATTACAGAGCTGGGAAAATGGTGTATTGATTAGATTCTGATCCGTGCACGTCCAATTTTGACTGACTTTAGTTCTAATGTTAATGTTAATTTGACGTCAACCCATAAGTAATTATTTAAATTAACTCTAAATGTCACATGATGATGGATTAGTGTTCCACATTTCTTCCACTAATTTGTTTTACAATCAGGCCAAAGGTAAAGAGAGACATTGATGACCTTGTGTCCCTTTTGTTAGTACGTGGTTCCATGTTGTCTATGGCCTTGGACGGCTTCACTAAAAGTCACCCAGTTCTGCCCTGCTGCAATCCGGCTGAGTGCAGTCACAGAGATGCTATGGCTGCTCTACATGACATTAATGGTCTGGTCTGAATGGACACCATTTCCTGCTCCCAGAGAGAATGACACTCCTCAAACTGAACATTACAGCCGTTGATACTGTCTCACATGGGTCTGCTCCCCCCCACTGAGCCATGACCTGAAAGCATGACATCTGCTATGAACACTTGGAAGCCTCCCTGTCACACCAGCACCAACCCTTGGGTCAGTCAGATGAGACTAACGGCTTCACTTAGGGCATTTGGTTCAGATACATGACTCTCGTTACCGCAGAGTGGGTTGTTTTTAAGGCTATTCAGACTGCTATGATGCCTGTAAGTGGGCGAGCTGGTAAAAGCCCCTACTATTGTTCAAATAGGCCTAATGTCAGGGGTCTCTTAATGTCTAGTTCTACATGTATTCACATTACATAGACAATGTTTCCACCTGGTAAAACTAAAGGCTGCACGAAACTCAGGCTACAATACAACCATTCTGTTCTGCTCTAACGATTCAATGTATAGATTCTACATCAAAACAATTAGCTTTTATTGTTTCCAATGATAACGTCACCTTCAGTGGAGGAATGCAAACCTATTTTCAAATGTAAGGTTTTGATGTTGTTTGACATTTCTCAGTAATGACACCCTCAGACACCCAGTATCATTCATGCTATGCCTTCAGTAATAACTCAGATGTTAAAGGGATGAAACTTTTCCTCCCAAATCAGATAAGCTTTGTTTTTCAACAAATGTATCCATTTCCTCCATAATATATGTTTATCATAATGGGTTTCTGCACACAGGTGATACTGAGTCTTCTCGATTAATAGATTATAAACTATACCATGCTTAAATAGACTCCTAAGTTATTATTTCATATGTACCATATGTAAGAAAAGGGAGGGAAGAGTCAATTATATTGAGTAATTGATTTTATATTGAGTAATTGATTATATTTCTGATAAACTAATATGTTATCAAAAGGTAAATGGTGAATTAATATACATTTAGAATCATTGAGAAGGGGTTATATCCACAGGGACAAGCTCACCTTTAACTTACAATAACATGTCTCTGCTATGGACTGATGAGTATATGATTCTTGTTCAATGACTAACACAAACCTTCAAAATGATAATGTGCATGTGTCAGGAAGGCTCCCAAATCATTCTGAGGGGCCTATCCTATTTTAGTAATTAATTGATAATGTGCTAATCCATTACTTTGAGTTGTCTTCACTCAGAAAAACATCCCTATCAGGTGTTAACCCAATAACTAGGACAGCTCTCAAGGCCAAGGGTCAGAGAGAGAGGGTCACACTCTCCGGGTGCAGAGAGCACCCCCAGCCACGTGCAAGGAAGCACCAGGTCGTTCGAGATGGGATGCTTCTCTTCACCTTTCTGATAAGAGGGGGTTCTTCTCTTCATCTTTCTGATAAGAGGGGGTTCTTCTCTTCATCTTTCTGATAAGAGGGGGTTCTTCTCTTCATCTTTCTGATAAGATGGGATGCTTCTCTTCACCTTTCTGATAAGATGGGATGCTTCTCTTCATCTTTCTGATAAGAGGGGGTTCTTGTCTTCATCTTCCTGCTCGGTGGGCTCTAGCAGACCACCCTGCAGGACGAGCGAGGGCTTCAGAGGCTTCTATAATACAAGGTTCCATGTTTCTTGGAGGAGTTTGATGTCTTCCTAACCTCTCCCATCACGGGGGGGACACCTGGATGCATCAGGAATACGCAGTTGTACTCAAGCAGATAGCAGAAGGAATACAGGCAGGATGAGCCTCCGTCTCACTGGGGGGTCAGCTACAGTGCTCACTGAATGAGCCACACAAAAGCAGAGCAATTGGGGGGTTGAAATTATGGCGCTCTGATGGAGAAGAGTTTGAGCCAATCAGCACCTCAGTGCTAATCTACAGTATCAGGATGCCTTTACACACCAGACACTCGGTGTCATAAAGGGAGGAGGAGAACGAGTCAGGAAGCCTGGCGGACATGTTCTTCCAGCTCTCGTACAAAGATGAACTTTGAATTGAATGACCAGATGTTTAAAGATGTACAATTAGTGATTGTTTTTATATTTCCAATGACCAGACATGTGTTAAGTAGTGGTGATAAATATATTTTGTCAGATCAGATTACACTTTCACACTAAACAAAATTAATAAATAAATATTTTCAGATTATAAAGTATTGAATAATAAGGTATTTCTAATATTATAACAGATAATGTTAATATCCTTAATCATCCAGCACTCAGGCTTAACAACACAACTCTGTAATGTATTATCCATGCACAGACAGACCTAACATGATGTTTCAAGTACTGGATTAATTTCAGTTTTGGCCCAAAACAAATATTTATAATAATTAATATAACAATTATGTAGCATATTTGATCCTCAAATTAGAGAAGTATAATTTAAAGAAATTGATATTCTATATTCAACATTAGATAAACACAGAAGAACCCTTTCCAAGTACCATAGGTAGATGATCAGGTAAGTATGGCTAATAAGAATAATTGATAGACTTAATTTGGTGCAGATCAGTTGTAGCATTCACAAATGTATGAATTAAAGTTTTAAGAATGTTTAATCTTTCCTTTCCAGGTTTTTACAAAAGTCTTTGAATATTTGCCTAACTTTTCCTTTTCAGACTAAAATGAATGTATTGATTTTACTAAGACTAAGTGCCTTACTCTTGGCTAAAGCGTAATGAAGTAAACGTAAAGTAATCCTAAAATTGAGGACACTGCAACTTTGCAGATTACAGATTGATCAAATCACCTGTGAATGTTATGCCTTAGCTGTGAATGTTATACCTTAGCTGTGAATGTTATACCTTAGCTGTGAATGTTATACCTTAGCTGTGAATGTTATACCTTAGCTGTGAATGTTATGCCTTAGCTGTGAATGTTATACCTTAGCTGTGAATGTTATGCCTTAGCTGGATCTCTGATGATCCTAAGTTTGAAATGCTTTTGACTAGTGATTGCCTTAAAGCAAATCTTTAAGCTGTTTCTGGTTTTCATTTTATAGTTTGATAAATGACATTAACTAATGGTTTAAATGCTATTATGTATCTGTGTTTTTATGTGTGTTCATTATTGTGTTTATTGACAAAAGATGCTCCAAACACTGATGAGAGATAATTGTTCCTATTATGATTGCCTGTATCAATCATTGTGATTGAATGTTTCAATCTTATTCTACTTTGTGATGTAATTGAATGTAAGGTGAGACCACACTCGAATCTGAAGACGCCTATTGATTTAAGTATTGACCAGAATTATTATTAGACTAATGTTTTAAGGTTATCAAAAATGATAAAAAGAGAGGAACTGTTAAGGAATAATTCTTCTAGATATCTAACCTTTTACTCTGACATGTGTTATCTCCTCTAAGGAAAGGCCTTGGTGCCATATGTGTTGTTGTCACCAGTGTGTGACCGGTCAACTTGACTGGCACGTAGGGTAATTGTTGTGGGAACACTGAAGCACTTCTTTATCGGTGTTTGTGGGCTCTAGGATGTGAAATCCTTGAGGCCATGAGCGTCGGACGCAGATGATTCAGTGTTTAGTCTACTCCTTCAGAGATGTTGATTCTCTGTGAACCAGTTCAAAGGTCTAGCATAGAGAGAGGTTCTTCAGAATTGATGTGGCAACTCTACCGTGTGGTCAGAACCTCTGACTCTTTGATTTGTGATGTGAATCCTCCGGCCGAATACTCTGAATAAACCCATCAGTGTTTGACATCAAAGCTCCAACTCTCACCGTGTCTCCTTCCTGAGTCGGTGACTCCATGCATTGCTACACAGAAGTTTCCTCCACAAATTGATATAATATTTACAAAATCTTCAAGGGGTCAAATACTTATTTCCTCCACTGTATATATAAATGATATGAGTACCTGAAGAGGTCCAGCTCGTGGATGCTGGGCAGCACCGTGGGGGTCCGTAGCACCGTGGGGGTCCGTAGCACCGTGGGGGTCCGTAGCAGGTTCTGAGACACAGAGAATAATAATACAACTTTATTGACCCGTCGTCTGGTTAACAGTGTTATAAATAAAGGTGTGACCTCCTGACCTCTGCAGCGCTCTGTCTCACTGGACTTCCTCCGGGCTTATCACTCCTGGAGGGGACCCGCACCTGAAGAGACACACCTTCATATACTCTATATACTTTTCCTTAATTTTGGAGAAACCGGCTCGAGATCGCGAGAATTTGAAAATACACAACCGGAGAAAATCTGCCACTTCCTCACAGAGCCCCTCCTCCAACACACACGAACGTGCACATGACCAATGAGGGCACGAGATAAGTTTGTGCACAGATGGAAGGCTGACAGGCAGGTAGGCCATCCAGTTATTTTAGCCGGGCCGGCTCAGATGATTGGTCGTGCTTTTTACAGTACTACAGCTTCCACTGATGATATTTATTTATGGATTTGTTGTCAAAGCACTTCAGATATTCATTGCTATCGGGATGTTAAGAGCATTCCATGGAATATAACAACAAGTGTATCTCCAGCCGGTTTCTCAAACTTACCTACCCCACCTTTAAAGTCCCGGTTCAAATAAACGATTAAATGAAAATGAAAAATAAGTCCCACCTGCAGGACCAGGCCCATCAGCGGCAGGGTGAGGCTCAGCCCGGGAACGGGGGCAGGCCATTGGTCGATCTCGTTGCACACTGTGAGGAGGAGAGAGAGACGTCATGTGACCTGTCCGAGTGATGTCATAATACCTGCTGTTCTGATTGGTCCAGAGTCATGACATCATCACCTGTCTCCAGGCACGGCTCCAGTTTCTCAAAGAACTCCGGAGCCACGATCTGTAGAAGAGTCTGGAACAGGGGGGGGAAGGGCAGTCGAGATAACAGCACGAGAGACTGGAATAGAGAGGATATCATGTATATCAATATATATAATAATATATATAAATAATATATTATTATATATATAAATATATATAATAATATATATAAATAATATATATAAATATATATAAATAATATATATAATAAATACATAATATTAATGCAATGACCTTCTGGAAGTACCCTCTCTTCACCGAGGCGTCCTTCACCTGCCTGAAGTAAACAAAGCCGAAGAAATGGGAGACCTCCGTCTGAGAAAAACACACACACACACACACACACACACACACACACACACACACACACACACACACACACACACACACACACACACACACACACACACACACACACACACACACACACACACACACACACACACACACACACACACACACACACACACACACACACACACACACACACACACACACACACACACACACACACACACACACACACACACACACACACACACACACACACACACACACACACACACACACACACAGAGAGACAGACACGCAATATATAATATATAATAAATTATAATATATATATTATAATATATATTAGTATAGAGTATATTAGGGCTGCACGATATATCGTGTCGTGACGATAATCGCGATATTCACATCGCAGGACGTGCGATTTTTATTTATTTATTTTTTAGGACTTGCGATATTAATTAGGCAAATTAACTCAAACACGTCGTGTTACAATTCTTTTGCTGCTTGCTACAAAACGAAAACCCACGCGGCTCTCATGTCAGGGTCCCTGAGGGAGTGACAGCAAACCACCGATCACAACCAACTCTCCAAAGCAAACGGAGCGGGAGATGAAAGGTAGAAACATTGAACAAAGTAGTTTCATGTGTTTCAGTTCAGCGCTGCTAACCGAGCTAGCTCAGCTTGTTGCTCTGATAACTTCAGATCCAGACGTCCGTGACTAAAATCCTTCATCCGGTTAAATATAGTTACAAAAATACCAATTTTATAGAATTAAAGTTCAAGAAAGGATGGTTTGCGGACAGAAAAAACTGTCTTTTCTTCAATTCCTGTAATTTTTCATATCGCAATTTATAAATATATATATATCGCAGGGGGAAAATCGCAATGTCAGTTTTTTCCAATATGGTGCAGCCCTAGAGTATATAGAGTAGGGTACCTTTAGGGTGGGGGGGGCGTCCCGGTTGTAGACCTCCTCCTCGCGGCCCCCCCCCCCTCCGGCCCACAGACTGACGCAGCCTGAAGCTGAACTGAGTATCCCCAAGGCATCCTGGGAAATGGAGTCCACACTGTCACCTCTGACTACACACATCACATAATAATACATAAATAAATAATAATATATAAAGAGCTTACCTGAGTACGAGTCGGGGAAGGACAGGTAGCAGATACTGCTCTTCTGAAAACACACAGAAACATATATATATATATATATATATATACACACAGAGACACTAATACTATTAATACACAGAGATATAAATACTATGATTATAAAGAGATATAAATCTGACCTCCTTCTCAGTGAGCTTCACATCCTGAGGATACACCAGCTGAAACACACACACACACACACACACACACACACACACACACACACACCACAGCATTTTATGAATCTGAACATGTTAACATTTTTTAAATACATTAATGTATACATGTTGTTTGGTGTTGCGATGTAAGTGTGTGTGTGTGTGTGTGTGTGTGTGTGTGTGTGTGTGTGTGTGTGTGTGTGTGTATGTGTGTGTGTAAACAGAGAGAATCGGCTGATGCTAACGATGCTAAGCTAACAGCTAAGCTCACAGCTACCTCCAGCGCCTGGCCCAGCTCCAGGTCGAAGGTCACCACACACACACACTCCAGCCAGCGGGAGAAGCGGCTCCACGGAGCTTCTTCTTCTTCTGGAGACCCGGAGCCGGCACACAGCTCCATCAGCGGCCGTGAGGAGCTCTGGTACACGGCTCTGCTCTCCGGTTCATCCTCCGGTCCTCCATCATCACGAGAGAGAGAGAGAGGGAGGGAGAGAGGACGAGAGAGAGAGAGAGAGAGAGAGAGAGAGAGAGAGAGAGAGAGAGAGAGAGAGAGAGAGAGAGAGAGAGAGATCGAGAGAGAGAGAGAGAGAGAGAGAGAGAGAGAGAGAGAGAGAGAGAGAGAGAGAGAGAGAGAGAGAGAGAGAGAGAGAGAGAGAGAGAGACCCGGGGCCCCCTGGCGGCCGGGAGGCGACACTGCACCTGGAAACATCATAATATAATACATGCTTTTAATAATAATTCAAAGTGTGAGGCGCGCCTCCCCTGGGGGGCGCCAGAGAGCTTCAGGGGAGGCGCAGAGTGAGAAAAAGAAGAACGAGAAAAAGACGAGTAAAGTGACACTTGCACACTTTTGGCTCTCTGTGGAGACCGAGTTCCCCCAGCTCGCCTACAAGGCTGTGAGAGTGCTCATTCCCTTCACCTCCACCTACCTGTGAGAGTGCTCATTCCCTTCACCTCCACCTACCTGTGAGAGTGCTCATTCCCTTCACCTCCACCTACCTGTGTGAGTGCGGGTTTTCCGCATTGACTCTGATCAAAGCCAGTGCCGGTGAAGGCTGCAGCCAGAGGATGATCTGCGTTTATTCCTGTGTGCATCAAAGACGCAGACTCATTGTTCCCACTAAAGTAGGGGTGAGTGTAATAAGGAGGCAAAGTTGACGTTCAGTGTGTTGCCGGGAGCATATAAGGATGTATCCACGATGTTGAAAATGTTAAGAAAATATGTGTTGAGAACACGGCGTGCGAAAATATACGGGTCGTTCTGCAGCTAGATTTGCCTGTCCTCTGTAAGAAGGTGTCGGCGACTGACATGCGAGGAAGAACGGCTGTCCACAGGCTGTCCTCAGGCTGTCCACAGGCTGTCCTCAGGCTGTCCACAGGCTGTCCTCAGGCTGTCCACAGGCTGTCCTCAGGCTGTCCACAGGCTGTCCTCAGGCTGTCCACAGGCTGTCCTCAGGCTGTCCTCAGGCTGTCCACAGGCTGTCCACAGGCTGTCCTCAGGCTGTCCACAGGCTGTCCTCAGGCTGTCCACAGGCTGTCCTCAGGCTGTCCTCAGGCTGTCCACAGGCTGTCCTCAGGCTGTCCACAGGCTGTCCACAGGCTGTCCTCAGGCTGTCCACAGGCTGTCCTCAGGCTGTCCTCAGGCTGTCCTCAGGCTGTCCTACAGGCTGTCCTCAGGCTGTCCACAGGCTGTCCTCAGGCTGTCCTCAGGCTGTCCTCAGGCTGTCCACAGGCTGTCCTCAGGCTGTCCTCAGGCTGTCCACAGGCTGTCCTCAGGCTGTCCTCAGGCTGTCCACAGGCTGTCCTCAGGCTGTCCTCAGGCTGTCCACAGGCTGTCCTCAGGCTGTCCTCAGGCTGTCCTCAGGCTGTCCTCAGGCTGTCCTCAGGCTGTCCTCAGGCTGTCCTCAGGCTGTCCACAGGCTGTCCTCAGGCTGTCCACAGGCTGTCCTCAGGCTGTCCTCAGGCTGTCCTCAGGCTGTCCACAGGCTGTCCTCAGGCTGTCCTCAGGCTGTCCTCAGGCTGTCCTCAGGCTGTCCTCAGGCTGTCCTCAGGCTGTCCACAGGCTGTCCACAGGCTGTCCACAGGCTGTTCCAACTTTAACAACTTCCAGGGAAGTGAATTGAACATGCTTTTGTAATTGGGTGTGTGGTATATTTTCATGCACGCACACGCATGTTCCTCAACACACAAACTGAACAACACTCAATTGTCCGATCGCTACCAGTGTCCTTGCGATCTTGTTATAGCAACACGTTACTGATGCAATATGGTTGAGACCATTCGGGCTTATTCCAGAGGGGTGCAAGGAATAGTCCAAGTAGTGGGGGAGTTTTATACAATATGTTTAAAACATAAAGATAAAAAGGTTTTAAAAAGTTATTGTTTAATGTTTTAAGGAGGTGACGCTACTCAGCCAATCACATCGGTGCAGTAAGTGAGTCAGCACGATAGATTCAAACACACAGAGACAAGAGGAGACAAACAGTCATTTCAAATGGCGGACGGTAGACAGCGAAAACAGAGCATTTAATGACATTTTCTCTTACTGGACCTCTTTGAAATGCAATTGAATACCCCCGCATTATAGCAACAACAACAATAATAATAATAGCAATAATAATTGGGAGGGGGGGCGCGGCTATTCTTATGTTCTCTGAGGGGAGGCTCACCTTCCCACACTTTGAAAACCCCTGATATAACACATTATATACATGCTTATACTATTATTGAACTTTCCTGTCGGCTCCCAGACCGCAGTCGGGGACACAGGGGTGACTCTCTGTTGTCTCCCAGGGGGAAGCAACAAACTTCCGGTTCTATAACCCACTTTGTAAAATAAGGCAGAGAGGCGAGCTCTTCTTGGGAGGCAGATGCTGCCTTCAGGGACCAACACAGAACCAGGGAGATGCTGCCTTCAGGGTCCAACTCAGAAATACCATATCTTGCTGCTATCTGAGCTCTGTAGCTTTTACAGTGTGGTACATCAGATGTAACTCTTTATATTTTACAGTGTGGTGCATCAGATGTAACTCTTTATCTTTTACAGTGTGGTGCATCAGATGTAACTCTTTATCTTTTACAGTGTGGTACATCAGATGTAACTCTGTATCTTTTACAGTGTGGTGCATCAGATGTAACTCTGTATCTTTTACAGTGTGGTGCATCAGATGTAACTCTTTATCTTTTACAGTGTGGTGCATCAGATGTAACTCTGTATCTTTTACAGTGTGGTACATCAGATGTAACTCTATATCTTTTACAGTGTGGTGCATCAGATGTAACTCTTTATCTTTTACAGTGTGGTGCATCAGATGTAACTCTATATCTTTTACAGTGTGGTGCATCAGATGTAACTCTATCTTTTACTGTGTGGTGCATCAGATGTAACTCTTTATCTTTTACAGTGTGGTGCATCAGATGTAACTCTTTATCTTTTACAGTGTGGTGCATCAGATGTAACTCTTTATCTTTTACAGTGTGGTGCATCAGATGTAACTCTTTATCTTTTACTGTGTGGTGCATCAGATGTAACTCTGTATCTTTTACAGTGTGGTGCATCAGATGTAACTCTTTATCTTTTACAGTGTGGTGCATCAGATGTAACTCTTTATCTTTTACAGTGTGGTGCATCAGATGTAACTCTATATCTTTTACAGTGTGGTACATCAGATGTAACTCTTTAATCTTTACAGTGTGGTGCATCAGATGTAACTCTTTATCTTTTACAGTGTGGTGCATCAGATGTAACTCTTTATCTTTTACAGTGTGGTGCATCAGATGTAACTCTTTATCTTTTACAGTGTGGTACATCAGATGTAACTCTGTATCTTTTACAGTGTGGTGCATCAGATGTAACTCTTTATCTTTTACAGTGTGGTGCATCAGATGTAAGTCTTTATCTTTTACAGTGTGGTGCATCAGATGTAACTCTTTATCTTTTACTGTGTGGTGCATCAGATGTAACTCTTTATCTTTTACAGTGTGGTGCATCAGATGTAACTCTTTATCTTTTACAGTGTGGTGCATCAGATGTAACTCTTTATCTTTTACAGACATCAAAGTCTTTGAAATAATCCGACGCCCCGGGCAGGGCAGGGGTCCTGGTTCAGGAGAGGGTTCAGGAGAGGGCAGGGGTCCAGGAGAGGGCAGGGGTCCAGGTCTAGGGCAGGTTGGGGGTCCAGGTCTAGGGCACGTTGGGGGTCCAGGTCTAGGGCACGTTGGGGGTCCAGGTCTAGGGCACGTTGGGGGTCCAGGGCCCCTGGATGTGCTGGCTCTGCAGGAGCCTCTGCAGCTCCTTGAACTGCTCCACAGTCCGGTCCTTCACGTCTGGGTTGGAGATCTGGAGCCGGATGCTGTCTGTAGACCAGCTGAGTTCCCCAGAGAACATCTCCGTGAGGATCCGGGCCACCACGGGGACCACCTGAGGACCAGGACCAGAAGCATGTTAAAGAGGTCTCAGTGAGGATCCGGGCCACCACAGGGACCACCTGAAGACCAGGACCAGAAGCATGTTAAAGAGGTCTCAGTCACTATGTGGGACTGAAGGGCCCCCCAAAGGAAGAGGAACAGACCTGGACGATGATCAGTTTCTTCTCTTTGGGTTTCTTGTCGGGCCAGTCCTCACCGAAGCAGAAGTAAACCTCAAAGGGGGGCGGGTTCGGAGTTTCGCCCCTCTGGAACAGGATCAGGCCTGGGTACAGAAACAGGTTTAAGACCAGCTGAAGGGGGTAGAGTTCTGGACCGGTTCAGGGGTTCTTCAACCTACCTTGCAAGAAGTCATTGAGGCTGAAGACCCGGACCTTCTTCTCGCGCTCCAGAGGGTTGGGGGGTCCGGGTTCGGAGGTCCCGGGCACGGACCAGAACACCTTGCACTGGCAGAGCCGGACTGCGTAGAGGTCCTGCTCCCAGAGCTCCAGGATCAGGCCTCGGTCCATGACGTCCAGGAGGGCGTCGGTGTAAAACTTCTGCTTCTGGTTCTGGATCTCGGAGGTCCCGGGGAACTGGACCTGCTGCAGGGTGACAGGCCCGAACAGCTCCACCTGGTCCGGACTGGGCTCCAGGTGACCCGCATACAGCCGGCAGCCCTGAGGGTTGGAGACCAGCAGGGAGGCCGCCGTCCGGCCCCGGTACTGGACCTTCAGATCCAGGTCTGTCACTGCAAGAACACACAAACAAGACCAGGTTCTGGACTTTAAGATCCAGGTCTGTCACTGCAGGATCACACAAACAAGACCAGGTTCTGGACCTCAGACCCCCCTCCCAGGACTCACATGGGACGCTGCTCAGCAGGTCGTATTTGCAGGTTTGGTGGTTCTGGCCCATGCTGCTGGCCTCCATCATGGGGGCAGGGGGGGGGTTCAGGTCCTGCAGGCCGTTACAGAGCCCCCCCCGGTCCTGGAGGTCCTGTAGGTCCGAACTCATGGGGACCACCGTTCCAAACGAGGGGGGGTCGCTGATCCGGGGGTCTGGGGAGACATTGGGATCAGGATCAGAGTGCTTTACCATTTAGATATAAACACAATGAGTCTGATCAGCAACCAGATCCAGGAAAACCTCAGGGTTCTGGTTCCTGATGAACCTCAGGGTTCTGGTTCCTGTTGAACCTCAGGGTTCTGGTTCCTGATGA